ACAGCCGCGCGGAGAGCACCCGCGTCCGAGGGGCGGCAGGCGGGAATCGGGCCGGGCAGGGGTCCCAGGCGCTGGCCGCGGTCCCCCGGACCCGAAGGCCCTCCGCGTCGCGTCCTGTCACTCACATTTTGTTGGCGGAGGCAGCTAGCGTCTCAGAATCGGCTGACTGACACTGCGGAACCTGGGGCCGGGGACCTGGGCGGGGCGCCGGCGGCGCAGGGGCGATGACGTCACCGGGAGGGGCTGACGGGGTGAGCGGGACGCGCGAGGCCGCGAGGGTCGCGCCGGAAGGGGGCGGGGTGTGTTAGGGGCGGCTCCCCCACCGCGCGCTGCGGCCGGTTGCTGGGCGACTGCTGGCTGTCGGTGTCCGCGCCAGTGCTGACCTGGGGCACGAGAAAAGGCACCACGGAGATAAATGAGGGTGTGGGCGTTTTACGTTATTCTGGGACCGTGAGTTATTCCTCTGACCGTTGACAGCATTGGAGACAGCCCTTGGGCTTCTGCTTAAAGTTTCCACATTAACCCTGTGGTCCTGGAGACACCACATATTCGCAAGAAACTTGTTAAAATGGGAGAGGAGGTTCATTCGTAGTATTTGTTATAGGCGTTGATTGGGTTAGGTTTCCTTTTCGTGTGTTCATTTGTGACACAAATATCTGTCATTGCACAGACCTTATTATTAATATAATCTCTTCATGGAATTCTTGATATCAGGGACTGTACTTTCTACCTTTACAGGTCCTCAACTTCTGAATTTCCGGTTGAGGCTGAGGCACAAATCTGAATGTAGTGATTTACTGTGCAAGGAATTTCAGTTGTAGTAAAAGCGTTCCCACCAGCAAAGGCAACTGCAGCGTTAAACAGAACACCAGTAGGTCAACTGGCAGAAAAGATGAGAAATGAAAAAAAAAACATCAAACTGTCTTTTCCAACTCTAAATGGGATTTGAAAAAGAAAATATTATTGTATGTTAGAATAAGAGAGTGTCACAGAGGTGGAATTCGGATTGGGTTAAGTATGTAACGAGAGAACTTTCCAGGCATGGGAGGAACAAATCATGAACCAAGAAACAGTGGACCTGGACACGGTTTGAACAGACCAACCAGAGGGTGCAGGTTGGGGCACAGATGAAAATAAGACTGAGTTGAGAGTGAAAATAAACAAAGGAAAATGTCATTTCAGTGCGGCGGGCTCTAGAAATCACTGAGGCTTCATGAAACTGGGAGATCTATCATGCAAAACTTGTCTGACAGCAGCTCCAGAATGGTTTAGAGGGAAGAGGGACCACCATGGAGTTGAGTTTCTGCAGTGAAAGGGAAGGAGACTGATGCCAGGGTTCCGGGAAAGAAGGCTGGGCTTAGTAGTCAGCTGAAAGGTGCATTTTTAAAAACATCAGAGGATTTTAACTGAAAAGATGAATTTCGATCCATATTTTTATCTTTCCGTAAGTACACTTAGGCTGAGAGGTGCCTGAGAAGGTATATCAATAACTCAATGACAGTGAATATTGATAGATATAATATACACATAATCTAAAGCTCTTTGAGATCCTCCTTGAATCCAATAGTGGACAAGCAAGTGTTCTAGGAACAGTGGCTCTATCAAGAAATGTTCTCTTTCCTGGACAGACCTGAAACTATGTAGCATTCCATGTCAAAACACTGCATCAAGATAGAAGGAACTATTTGAAATGATTTTGTAAGGTTTAAAACCTGCTGATCACCTTGGATTTCAGTATCAGGTGAAATTAAAGCAACACACACATAGTATGGGGAAATTTTCTTCATTTTTAATTTACAGCAGAAAGAATATAAAGCATTCAGAAAACATTTTCCATATTTTAAGGGCAATTCAAAACATTTTGCATGGTTTCCAGCAGCTGAGTTCTTCAACAGATCCATTGATTCAATGATGCTTTACATGCACAATTACAAAAATAAAACTTACAAAAAAGAAGACATCTAGACTAGTTTTACATGCAAGTCTCAGGGACCCCCCATTGGGCGCCAACTACTGTGTGGAACTGCCATAAGCGACCGTGCAGCCAGAGAGGGGTTCGAGTTATTGTCTCGATTTCGTTCACACAGTACAGCTGATTTCAAATGGGTAACAAGTGTAGCAATTAAATCATCAGGAGACAGAATAAGATTAGCTATTAATTTTATAATGAAATCCTACTCCTGGCACTTGGGAATTCAGATTATCCAAGAAAGCTGCGCTTACCTATCATCTTATATTCAAAATTAAGATTCACAACCAAGAAAAAGCGGTCAAAAATGTTTCATTTCAGTGGAAGTGCATTTGTACCTCACCTGGGATTCACAGTTGTACTGGTAGATGACACTGGTAGGTTTTGAACCTACTTCTATCCTCTCCGTAAGAACGCTCCTAACTCTATGTCAGTCTTTTATCTTCCAGATTATCTAGCTTACTCAGTTAATAATGTAGCATGTGAGACATTAAAAAAAAAAAAGTGAGGGTTAAAGCAAATCCACTGAGGTCATTACTCCTGTCAAAAGACCGGCTATTTGTACCACAATGGAATAAACGTACCTAAATTCAGTATTACTAAAGGATATTCTGAAAGAGCTGGCTTTCACATTCTCTTCCCATTGATGAATGCAATTGTGTGTTTGTAAATTACTCAGTGTCCTCTTGTAGGTCAAATTGTGGGAAAATAATGGGTATTTGGGGGAACTGCAACAGTTGCAACAAAACCCACACATTTAAAAACAAAATTGAGTCTGGTCAGTTTACAAATGTACAGGTGGCTGCTAGCTGTGGGGCTGTCACCGTTGTCAAAGCTGATCACAAGCAGTAAGACATATACTGTACAGTAATTCGAGGTTGGCAGTGAAAGGAAGTAATTAAAAAACAAGTACAATTATAGAAAAGGCACCAAGAGCACTGACCCCAGTTGTTACCACAACTTTTTGTATCTACCTTCCTTCTAAGACACCAGTTTAAAAGCTGATTTGTGAATATTTTTAGGCTTCACAACAAGCCTTGAGTTTTCACTTACAGTTGGCAGCCAGAACCAAGGGAAAAAAAAAATACCAAAACTATTCTCTCAGCTTTACACCAACTGATCCTGAAACTTAACCTGGGAATTTTAAACTGGCATCAGCAAGTGCGAACTTGATTCTCTCAATTTAACATTAGTAGTTGAATTGTTAAAAAGCATCAGATTTCTTTGGCTCCTCATTATGTGGAAATAGTAATATACCATGACATTCCTACGAGACCAGTTTGCATCCTTTTAATTTGTAGTTATTTTGTGTGCAATTTTCATTACATTTTCTGATTTCCAGCAGGAGATATGAAAACGTGAGATATTTTTCTATTTTTCATCCTATTTCTTTTGTCATGTTTTGACCATTCTAAGTGTTCTTTGTTGGAGTGAGTGGATGGTGTTAAGCTATATACTGATTCATCTTAATGATTATCTGTTTAGCAAAAGTAACTTAATTTTCTTACGCAATATCAGCATTCACATTACTTGGCACCATTGGCAAAAAAATCTTTTAAATAAAATAAAATAAACTCCTGGTAGCCAAAATTAAATGTAAACATATCCTTTTTTAAGTAATGTTACTCTGCCTTTTTTCCTAAGTCTTAATACAGTAGCTCTTTTTTTTTTTTTGCAGTTTAGTCATGCTTTAGCAAAATGTTCTTCTAAAGAACATTTAAAATAAAGTACTCTTATAGTGAAATAAAGTTTTTTTTTCATTTTACAGACCATAGCCACTAATGCTTTGCTTTTTCATTTCTTTTTTCTTGATTTCATGCACATATCTCTTTGTTTTAATATATACAATATATACAAACAATACATCCACATTTTTTTCTCGCTCATTCAGACAAAACTATACAAATAATTTTATCTTGCCATGTTATTGACCTTTGTGAATAAAATATTTAGCAATTAATATAATCCCTTTCAAATATTTTCTCACTTTCCATTTCTACCTTCTATATATACACAGAAACTGCTCAGGTTGGATGAGATATAGCCAAAAATATGGAATTTACTGGCCAGAACGCAGCACCACACTGATCTTTTAGGTGGCAAATGTCCAGGCAAGGTTCATGATTCCTTAGAATGACTAGTTTCCAAGGCTACTAAAAAAAGCTACATGCTTTACCAACTCTCTAAGTAATTCTCATTGCACAAGAAAGTAAGGCAAAAAAATTAAAGTGCTGAACATGAGAAAAGGGATAAGATGATGACTCTCCTCGCAGGTTCTTGGGAGGTGGTGGGGACAAGAAAATAAATTTAAACTGTACGCTGTTCCTCATCACTTCCCATGCATTACCCGTGTACCACGCACCCGCCCCCTCTGCAAACTTCCACAAAACACTAAAAACCTGCAGATTTTTAAAAGTTGCATTAAGTGTGCTGTAGAGATTGAAACGCAAACAGACAAACAAATTAAGATCAAATAAACACAGTGAAGGAAATGAGAACACACGGACCCAATAAAGATTTGTAAGATCTAAGCCCTCCACTGAGAATCAATCCCAAAAATTCAGCTTCTTGGAAATAACCGACAGGTGAAGGAACAGCATTCTCTTCATTGCTAGTGCATCCCCACCTTTTCTTATCTATATTTTTGGTATAAATATTTGTACAGTTCCACACGATGTTTGAATACAGCCCTATGTGAGAAGGAAGACGGCTTCTTCCTAAGAGGAGGAAAGCCTCTTTCGATTCCTCGTGGTGTCTTGTTTGCCCATGATCCAACAGAAGATTGAGTTCCAAGATGTCTTGCTGATCAAATTAAAAGTTGTCCATGAAAGTGCAAATGCAATGACCAAAACATTCCTGTTAAAATCCTGCAGCTGATCTCCCCAAAACTGCAGAGGGATTATGTGTGTGTATGTGTGTGTGTGTGTGTGTGTGTGTGCATGTGCGTGTTGTTGCATGTCTCTGCTAAAAACAGAAATGAAAACAGTCTGAAAAGCAGTGTCACATTGCTAAGGGATGCTGTTGTATGTCTTCAAGTTCCTTGGCCTTTTTCAATTCTTTCACTCTGGAAGAGAAACAAAACAAAATACCAGGTGGTAACTATAGAGTGAAATTGTCACCAGATAAAGGAAAGGGTGTGGCCATTTCCCCAGGAAGTGAAAAGCCAAGACAAAAACCCTTCTGAGGACTGATGGCTAAGGAAACTCCTGTGAAATTGCTGGGGAAAATATTCAAGAGGAAGACTGCAGCCTTCCTGAAACTCTCCCCTATATCAAGAGCTCTAAACACAAAGCAAAACCAAAGTTGAAAGCATTAAATCAAGTCTAACAATAAATTGCTCCTTCTAGAAAAAGTTAATTGATCAAATAACTTTCTTTTTAGCCTGGTCGACCCCCATGAATGCCCTGTGATTCCACAGGATGCAAACTAGGGAGACTGCACACACATTTGTTCATTAGCTTTTGATATACCTAGGGCATGAGTTCTTGCTTTGCTCACAGAATCAAGATCCTGAGCTATCTTGAACCTGATGGGCTCCCCTGCAAAACTCTGATTTTGCCCAGGTATTGTTCAGTCTTTCTGATTTTCAGAATTGCTTACTTTCCTCCCATTCCATATTGTAGCTTTGAAAGATGTTTGGGTCACTTCCCGCCGCCCCCCCCCCGCCCCCACCCCCTTTCCCCTGGGTAGACAGCACCAGGGTGCAATACCAATAAGGTACTTCATTCTGTTTATCAAATGTGTTGTGGTAAACAAATTTAAATTGCTATAAATAGAGTCAGGGAAAGTTCACAGCAAATTATTTGTTGATGACTGTTTTCAGTTGAAGTTTTTTAATATAAAAATTTGCCTTGGCTTTTGAATGAATATGGCCACCTGATGCAAATGGGGACCTGGGAAAGAGGTTCTAAGCTAAAGAATATATTTCTCTTTATTGTCAGATAACTAACAGCTTGCCTGACTACTGGATTGGTCAAAGGCAAGTGTGACTTTAGGATCTAACTTCTGAAGTTAGTGTGTGCTGTGTTAAGTCATAGATTGTTGGCAGCACTGTATGCCATGTGGTAACATTTGTTTACTAAAAACGGGTGTGAGAGGATGATCTTAGCCACACAGAAGCGGCAGTTTCTCTAGACACATACATTCTACCTCAATAGTATGACAAGAAAAAAAATTTGATTTGTTTTCCCAATATGGTCCTGTACAGAGCTAATTCCCAAATACCATTTTCTCGTTCTCTAAGAGAAGGGCCTCTCCTATTATCCTAAGTTATATGGATAAGTTTAAATTTTATTTTAGGGCGACTGTTAGTTCCCTTTCTAGAGAACACTCGAGTGGAAAGAAAACATTTTGAAAAACCAGTAATAAGTTATGGCTCTACTGAGGTTGGCATTCAATGAAATGGCACGTGTGCTATAATAGCGATTGAAAAAAATTATATTTACCACCTCCAAGCAGAATCATTTCTGAGTATTCTGTCAAGTTGATATGACCTCTTCAAAGAGAAGATGCTCTCTTTCAGAAAAAAAGCTTTGTCATTTTATCATCACCAAAAAGAATTATAATGTTTGAAAACGTACTTCTTTGTCTGATTTATTTACTAAATATACCAAGCCCAGTTTGCTCAAACAGTATATCTTTGAAATTATGAAAGCCTTCTTAACAGGTACACTTAGAATACCCTGCTATATTCACAACTGCATCCAGGTTCACTTGAACTTTATGATTAAGTACATTATGGATTATTAAATTTTGGGGTACTGTGGGTAATACTGCAGTACAAAAATGCACATCATTATAGGTCCCTAATTTTGGACATGCATACTTGATAAATAAATGGCTTTTTAAAAATTGAAACATGCCATATTCTGTGTTCAATTTTTAAACATGCAATATCTATACTAACAGTCCTCTGGCTGGAAGAATGCAAGGCATGCACCGATGCCACCTTTCCTTCTGGGCATGCAATGTACCCGGACTTGTGCAGACCTCCTTGCTGAATTACCGCAAAATGTGCATGCTACTTCAGATACGACCCCTGACTTCTGCACTAGCACAGGACTCATTCACAAATGTGCAACAGAAACTCCACCACTGGTGAGACGTATAGGATTTAAAGAACTCTGAACTCAAAACCTGACAGCACAAACACAAAGATCTCCATTCACCATTTCTCTAGTGGGAACAGGAAGGCTTTACAAATCTTTTCTTTTTAAGTAAAGTGTTCAAGTTTTTATTTTTATATTTTTATTTTTTGGCCACGCTGCCCAGCATGTGGGATCTAGGCTTCCTGACCAGGGATCGAACCCAGGTTCCCTACAATGAAGTGCAGAGTCAGGCTCAGGTCCTTTATCACTGGACCACCAGGGAAGTCCCACTTTACAAATCTTAAGTTCATCATTGGGATGAACTAAAACGGAACGTGAATTATAGACCAGAAATGTTTTATAACAAATGTTCATACCAAAAATCTGTAATCAGTTGGTCATGTGGGTATACTGCAAACTTTTTTAAGTTAAAATGGTCACGTTTGTTTCTGCGGCTTTTTTTTTGGCTAGTATCTTTTTGAGCTAATTAAAATAACTAAGTTTTTAAAGTTACAATGTAAATATGGTGCTATAAAACTAGTGCTGGCTTCACACACCATTAAGTTAAAGAGAGTTGCATGTCCACACACAGAATGACCACAATTATCAACTTAGGAAAAATGAGACATTCCTATTCAGATATATTTTCTAGGCTTTCCAAACTACTGAATTCCGGTGGAGAATTTAGTTTTTAGTTTCACGGTACAGTTTTCACAGTCTGCTTGCATTATAAATACAAAACATCAAAATGAATTAAACGGCAAAGGCATTTTTTAAAAGGAAGTTGTTAAAGGAGAAATTAGCAAAAAAGGAAGAGAATGCATGTTCCAATAGCTTGATGGGTTCCTTTGTGTGTGTTACCTTATTTAGTCCTCACAACCTCACCATCTTCTCCAATTTGTAAATGGAGAACTGAGATTTGCAGAATTGAGCAGCCTACCCAAAATTATACATAATAGTTAACAAATGGCAGAAGGAGTGTTGTATGAAAGGAAAGAAGGTTAACAAATGGCAGAATGGAGACTTGAAGCCAGATTTATCTGGCTTCACTCCTCCACTCTGATGCCTCAAACAGTATCTCAGGGCAACAGCAACAAAAAATAAATTTTTAAACACAATTCTTGTCTTTTCCAAAAGTCTGTACAGAAAACACACATTTAGAAATTTCCTGTGGCATGAGGTGAATACATTGTTGAAACTGATGACAATTCCCTTTTCTCAATTCTAAGATGCCATCCTTTATAAAACCATGTGTTGATTTTATTACAGTGTTTTAGAGTGAAAAAATAGCTCCGCGTAAAATGTACACATGGATCTGAAGCAGATCTGAAACGTAAAAGGAATGGGTCTAAGAATCAGGGCAGCCGAGGACTGTTAGCCTCATTCTCCAATTTCCTGAGCATATTGATTGCTAACATACCCCTGGAATTGGCTTTTACAGTCTGCTCTACTGAGATCATAAATGGAGGTTTATGTGACTCAAGGGTAGGTTATTAGGGTAAGACCTGGTGCCTAATTTTTTGTTTTGTTTTGCTTTAAATCAAATGTCAATTGGATAAAGTATGTTTGAATGTTAGGCTGACTCCCAAAGAAAAACAGAAAACACTTAAATCCACTGAAGTGAATGAGAACAACTTCCGATGCGAGGATTTTTAATAAATTCTAAGAGTTAGATGTTTCAAACCAGAGTATTTCGAATAGTCACAGAAATTTGTGTCTGCCTTGTCTCACTCATTCAAGACATGAACTAAAAGGCACAGGTTAATTGAAAATACTTCCACCATGAAAAGGATGTACAATAAAAGTTTAACAATTATCATCTCTGGGTGATATCCCTTGCTTATTTGTATTTCCAGAATGTACTACAATGAGTATGTGTTTCCTTCATAATAATGATCTCTGCTTGTCATTTTATAAAAAAGACTTATATTTTTCTATCCATCAGTTACAACTACTGTGTCTTACAAATATTAGTTACGTGACATTAAAGAACAACTGAAAAATTCAGTGGAGGGGAAAAAGATCACTTTTATAGACCAAAACCAAAATCAATTGATGGAGCTAGTTTTATTGATCCTGCCTATATTGTGAGCTTCTTTTCAGTGTGAAAAACTTGGCAAATGTAGAGCAGAATTTTTGAAATTGGAAGTATACTTGAAATTTCAGTAACTGTAGTCATCACGGCTACAGAACTGGGAATATAGATATGCAAGTTACCACATTTATAGAACTGAGAAAACACATGCCCAAGTCACCACGTCTACAGAACTGAGAACACAGATGCCCAAGTCACCATGTCTACAGAACTGAGAATACAGATGTCCAAGTCACCATGTCTACAGAACTGAGAATACAGATGCCCAAGTCACCATGTCTACAGAACTGAGAATACAGATGTCCAAGTCACCATGTCTACAGAACTGAGAATACAGATGCCCAAGTCATCACATCTACAGAACTGAGAACACAGATGTCCAAGTCACATCTACAGAACTGAGAATACAGATGCCCAAGTCATCACATAAAGAACTGAGAATATAGATGTCCAAGTCATCACGTCTACAGAACTGAGAATATAGATGTTCAAGTCATCACGTCTACAGAACTGAGAATACAGATGCCCAAGTCTTCACATCTACAGAACTGAGAATACAGATGTTCAAGTCATCACGTCTATAGACCTGAGAATACAGATGCCCAAGTCATCACATACAGAACTGAGAATAGACATCCAAATTACCCCATCTACAGAACTGAGAACACAGATGCCCAAGTCACCATGTCTACAGAACTGAGAATACAGATGTCCAAGTCGTCACGTCTACAGAACTGAGAATACAGATGCTCAAGTCATCACATCTACAAAACTGACAATACAGATGTTCAAGTCATCATGTCTACCAAACTGACAATACAGATGTCCAAGTCATCATGTCTACAGAACTGATAATACAGATGTTCAAGTCATCACGTCTAC